ATTTCAAATTCAAGTCATTCTGAATATTTTCAATTTGCGAGTGTACTATTGTAAGATCCCACAACCGTCTACGACTCCTGTTATAGATTTCCTGCATAAGCGAAACTTTTGTTCTTATTTATCTTCCTATAAAATAAATCTGACAGATAAAATCGTTACAATATCGGAAAAATAGAATGACGTGTTATAGATATTAGAAGTACGAGGAAATTATCAAATAGTTACACAGAAAGAGAAAGTTATAAACGCTAGCTGAAGGAAATCTAGATTTAACATCTTATAGAATTTCCTACGGTAGTAATGGTTGTTCTAAAGCCGCTGCCATTGTTCTTGAATTGCGATCGATGTTACATATCCCGCGAGGATTGTAGCGAAACGGAAAGTTTATACGAGCTAAGAACTTGATGAATTAATCGTTTGGTGGTCGCTTCGCGAACTATCTAAATTGGATTTTAAATTAGATCAAACAAGATACATATTTATTTCTTTGCATTTTCCTTTACAAATTACATTACAAAATAAAATAAAAATATATATTACCTATCTGTATATATCAAGATGAGAAATTCGTAGGAGCATTCAATCATGTTAAATTAATGTCGTAAATTAAAAATTATTTTATCTCAAAACATAAAAATATTTATATTTTATCTTTTTCTAATATAAATATTTACATATATCAATATATGTAAGTACTTATATTTGAAAGTAGAAACAGAAGAACTATTAGATCTATAATATTATTGTCACTCTAATTATAATTACTATTCTATTTTCTTTTAATTTTTTAATTTTTATAAATTATCTTTTATTGAGATCTTATTTAACCCTCGAACAGTGGACGTTGTGGTACTCGCATGCATGCGACGGACGTAGAATTAAAAGTGATTCAAGAATGAAATTGTTTTAAAACGTTTCAAAAGCAGTTTTTTATTATAATATGTAAGTTATTTCAAATATGTGGGAGAAGAAATAAAAATACATATTTATCACAGAAACAAATATCTATTTATTCATTTTTTTCAAAATTGAAAAAAATAAACAACTCTAACTCGCGGGTCTGGCGAGACCTTGCGTCCGCCGGCGCAAGATTAAGATGTTTTTAATTAAAGGAGGAGGGTCGATTGGCTCTTCTTAAATTTTGATGCCTTGTCAAAATATATTTCTCAAAATAGGTTACGCTCATCTCCAATGCTTTGAGCTCAAACAAATGATTGCACAGTGCTATATACAGGGTGCCCCCGACTTACGGGATCACCCATGGTGGAAGAATTACATGATGTACAGTTCGAATATGTACATTCCAAATCACGCCTACTTTTGCTCCGCGTCGTCAATAGGGTTCAAGGGCTACCAACTGTGAAACGCGAAACATAGGGAAGGTATTCATAACCCGTTCTTATTTTAAAACCATCTTAAATAATGTCTTAAGATACTAATACAATTCTCAGATTGATTTATGACATCTTAAGATTGTATTTAAATGCAAGAACGCACGCACGCACGCACGCATGCACGCAAAGTAATATTTGGTCATTGTTTATACATAAAGGACCCCAGCAAACGAGAATGGATTAAAGTGGATTAAAATTTTTTTAATGCGTACTTTAAATCTATAAATGAATAGATTGTGAAATGGATTAGATTCGAGCTAGCACTATAGTTTAATATTTGAAAAAAAAAAAAAAAACATTTATATTTTAGGGTTACAAATTTTATTCCTACGATATTTATTATAATTATACCTGAAATTAATTACTTCAAATTAATATTAAAAAACGCACCTTAGTGAGATTCAGACCTGGGACTTCTGGATTATGAATTTTCTACGTTATCTGCTACACCACTTCTTCAATTGGTAAATGTGTTATTCATTATCTTTACTTCAATTACAACCAGCTAAACTAGTAACGAAATTATATAGATATAATAAAAATATCATCATTTAACAGATATAATAAAATATAAATTTACATTATTATGAGACAACATTGAGTAAGTGATGGATAATCTAATCTCACTTGGCCGATGTCGCGCGCCTTGATTAACCTAATATTCGGACTGTGTTCGACTTGGTTTGAGAGTGTTCACATCGATCATTCATTTTACTTTTAATCAAAGAGAAACAAAAGAACATAGCTCAATTATTTTTACGTTACAATTTTTTTGAACTTAGATGGATTAAAATAAAAAATTTCTTACTTATAATTTTGAATAATTTAAATACGTTAGCATTTATGGTCTATTTTTAAATAAAAACTTTTTTTTATTCAATTAGATCGAAAAACTGCATTTTATATTTAAAATATTGAATTGAGCAGTAATCACGTTGCACAGAAATTCCTGATATTATTTTTGAATTAAAGAACTTCTTATTCACAATTCTGAATTGAGTAGTATTCACAATGTACACACAGAAAATGCTAATATTATTTTTAGATTGAAAGGCATAGAGGCAGAAAGGCATATGTTTTATGCAATTCCTATAAATGAATAAAAATGCATTCACGATTAAAAAAGATTCATTTTAACAGTCATGAATCCGTATTTCTGAAAATCTAAATCCATTTAAATCCATTTTAATTCATTCTCATTTGCTGGGATAATATTAATCATTTTGTGAAGTTTTATCGGCACATATATTTCAGATTCCAATATATGTTAATATAACTGTCGGCATCAAATGCAGAAAAAATTATATCTTTTGATATAATTTTGATCATTCTGTAGCATAACAAAAATTAGTTTTTTCAAGGTAATTTGATAATACTTGCCACATTGAAAATATAAATTTCTGCAATGTATCTCGTATATACTGCAATATACCAGATGTACAAGTATGAAATGCGGATTTGAGAAAACAGATGGCGCATCAATGC